AAAAATTCAACTGATGAATTATGTTTATCCTGTAGACAAAATTTCACATTTCATAAAAAGAAGCAAGAAATCAAGATCTATACAATCAACAGTCTGTTGAGAGGACTAGGGATGATACCAGTATCGGGTATCGGGTCCGATGCTCTGCTAATGTATTCCAATACCGCTTTATGGCTGTGTGACATTAGGTAACCTCTTGTTAGTTGAGCAGATAGGTTGAGAGAAGCAGTGTCAGCAGAAATATTTGGTATCGGTGTAAACCTGCAGAGGACCCACTACACCTACTATTGGCAAAGATCCTGAAATCTGTGTTTTACTTCATCTAATGCTTCTATATTGTGGGGTCTAATAAACCTTTACATTTCTAGGGATTTCTAGTGTTTATGATGGGTTTATTAGCTATTAGTTTATTTATAAGAATGTAAATAGGCTAAATCAGAATTAATATAACAGTAACTAGCTAATGATAGAGATGTGAGAGTTGGGATTACTTTACTTCCTGGTTGCTGACTTCCAAAATAAGACTGATTTTCAGCATAGCTTTTTAGTTGTTTCAGTTGTTTTTCAGTTTAATTTTAGAAGTTTAGTTGTTTTAGTTGCCCTTGTTTGTTTCTCTAAAATGTTTCTAAGTCTAGTAAAGACTGTATAAATGAATGAATAGATTTCATAATTTGAAGGTAGTTTCTAGTAGTTCTTTTTAATAAAATGTTCCATGTTGTAGTTCAGCACCCTGATCTCATTGTGATTGCAGTGCAAGCAGGAAGTTTGACTATCCCTCCAATTTAACACTGACCGCAGTTTTACTTCATGATGCTGGGGATGTACTGCATGTGGTTTCTGTAATGTTAAATTTCAATGTTTATTTGTATAGCGCCAATTCATAACAGAAGTTATCTCAGGACACTTTTCAAATAGAGCAGGACTAGACCGAACTCCTTTTAACATTTACAGAGTAGTCCAACAGTACACCATTGAGAGCACTTGGCCGACGGAGCAAAAAAACTTGCTTTTAACAGGCAGAAACCTAGGACAGACCCTTCGGCTCTAGGTGGGTGGTCATCTGCCTTGACCAGTTGGGGGGGAGAGAGAGAGAGAGAGAGAGAGAGAGACACACACAACAGATGTACAGCAACAACAGTAGCAACAACTACATTAACAGTAATGATCGATGACGATGACGTATCATATGTAAAATGATTTCACTTATTTCACTGTAATGAATATTGGAAGTTATATTGGGAATAAAAAAAACATTCTTGATTAAGTACTTTTAGGCAGTAAGTAGGTTTTCACAGTTCACTAACCCTAACCCAAATAGAAATTACAAAATTGAGTCAGAATCACTTAAAATTATTGAAGCTACTTGATCATGGAAGTTTTTGACTGATAAAATTGAGTTAGCTTTACTTAGGATTTTAAATTTATTTTTTTTAAATTTAATTGAGTTAACTTACCTGGTTATACAGTGTTTCTGAGCTTTATATTTGGCCTGTTTTGCATTTTATTCTTTTATTGACACTGTGTGATTCGTCGATTTTTTTTATTGTTTGTGTGTGTGTGT